TCAACTGGTGTACAGATTCCTGAGCCTATTGGCCTCTATCATATCTACACTTGAAACTGTGTATGGAGTCAGCCTCCACCACATCACTTCCTAATGCATTCCATCTGTTAACTACTCTGACACTGAAAAAGTGTGATAGTGAGGGTGGTGGTAGGTGTAATATTCACGGTAGTGGCAGGTGTGATAGTGAGGGTGGCAGGTATAATAGTGATGGTGGTCGCAGGTGTGATAGTGACGGTGGCAGGTGTGATAGTGAGGGTGGTGGCAGGTGTGATAGTAACGGTGGCAGGTGTGATAGTGGGGATGGTGGCAGGTGTGATAGTGACGGTGGTGGCAGGTGTGATAGTGACGGTGGCAGGTGTGATAGTGAGGGTGGTGGCAGGTGTGATAGTAACGGTGGCAGGTGTGATAGTGGGGATGGTGGCAGGTGTGATAGTGGGGATGGTGGCAGGTGTGATAGTGACGGTGGTGGCAGGTGTGATAGTGACGGTGGTGGCAGGTGTGATAGTGACGGTGGGAGGTGTGATAGTGAGGGTGGTGGCAGGTGTGATAGTGGGGGTGGTGGCAGGTGTGATAGTGACGGTGGTGGCGGGTGTGATAGTGACGGTGGGAGGTGTGATAGTGAGGGTAGTGGGTGTGATAGTGAGGGTGGTGGCAGGTGTGATAGTGAGGGTGGTGGCAGGCGTGATAGTGAGGGTGGTGGGAGGTGTCATAGTGAGGGTGGTGGCAGGTATGATAGTGAGGGTGGTGGCAGGTATGATAGTGAGGGTGGTGGCAGGTGTGATAGTGAGGGTGGTGGCAGGTGTGATAGTGAGGGTGGTGGCAGGTGTGATAGTGAGGGTGGTCGCAGTTGTGATAGTGAGGGTAGTGGCAGTTGTGATAGTGAGGGTGGTGGCAGGTGTGATAGTGAGGGTGGTGGCAGGTGTGATAGTGAGGGTGGTGGCAGATGTGATAGTGAGGGTGGTGGCAGGTGTGATAGTAAGGATGGTGGCAGGTGTGATAGTGAGGGTGGTGGCAGGTGTGATAGTGAGGGTAGTGGCAGTTGTGATAGTGAGGGTGGTGGCAGGTGTGATAGTGAGGGTGGTGGCAGGTGTGATAGTGAGGGTGGTGGCAGATGTGATAGTGAGGGTGGTGGCAGGTGTGATAGTAAGGATGGTGGCAGGTGTGATAGTGAGGGTGGTGGCAGGTGTGATAGTGAGGGTGGTGGCAGGTGTGATAGTGAGGGTGGTGGCAGGTGTGATAGTGAGGGTGGTGGCAGGTGTGATAGTGAGGGTGGTGACAGGTGTGATAGTGAGGGTGGTGGCAGGTGTGATAGTGAGGGTGGTGGCAGGTGTGATAGTGAGGGTGGTGGCAGGTGTGATAGTGAGTGTGGTGACAGGTGTGATAGTGAGGGTGGTGGCAGGTGTGATAGTGAGGGTGGTGGCAGGTGTGATAGTGAGGGTGGTGGCAGGTGTGATAGTGAGGGTGGTGGCAGATGTGATAGTGAGGGTGGTGGCAGGTGTGATAGTAAAGATGGTGGCAGGTGTGATAGTGAGGGTGGTGGCAGGTGTGATAGTGAGGGTGGTGGCAGATGTGATAGTGAGGGTGGTGGCAGGTGTGATAGTAAGGATGGTGGCAGGTGTGATAGTGAGGGTGGTGGCAGGTGTGATAGTGAGGGTGGTGGCAGGTGTGATAGTGAGGGTGGTGGCAGGTGTGATAGTGAGGGTGGTGGCAGGTGTGATAGTGAGGGTGGTGGCAGGTGTGATAGTGAGGGTGGTGGCAGGTGTGATAGTGAGGGTGGTGGCAGGTGTGATAGTGAGGGTGGTGGCAGATATGATAGTGAGGGTGGTGGCAGATATGATAGTGAGGGTGGTGGCAGGTGTGATAGTGAGGGTGGTGGCAGATGTGATAGTGAGGGTGGTGGCAGGTGTGATAGTAAGGATGGTGGCAGGTGTGATAGTGAGGGTGGTGGCAGGTGTGATAGTGAGGGTGGTGGCAGGTGTGACAGTGAGGGTGGTGGCAGGTGTGATAGTGAGGGTGGTGGCAGCAGTAATGGCCCAGGGGATTGTCACCAACGCTACACACAGACACACTATGATGTATTGACGCTGCCGAATTCTTTTCAACACTGGAGAAATGCAACAATAAACAAATCTATTAAACTTCACATATTTTTCAAAGAAATATTGTTATTACTGGTACTGAGGGCGGGAGGTGCGCGCGGGGTCCCGTCAACTCTGCCCCAGAGGGCAGTGATCAGTTTTTTATTTATAACATACTCGCTGTTCAGAGTGTTTTCAAACATTATATATATATTTTTATAAATGTGTATATATTCTCGTTTTTTATATAAATATATTTTTATATATAAATAAAAATGGAAATGTTCGTTTGTTCAAAATCGCTAATCTCCGAAAGTTCTTCACCGATTGCTTTGAAATTTTCACACAACGTTCCATTCGCATCCGGCCAGGTTTTTATATACATACTATATAGATGTCACGTCTGTGACGGTAAAAAAAAAAAACATGCTTTTTCTGAAAAACTGTGTTTTTCATGTGAGGGAAATCTTCGAAACCTCTTTACCGATTGCTTTGAAATTTTGACACAACGTTGCATTCGAATAGGCGCGTCTTTTTATATATCTACTATATACATGCCTCACCTGTGACAGGAAAAAAACATGTTTTTTTTTGAAAAACAGCGCCATCTGTTGGACGTAAGAGCAACACACGCTGTAATCTCCGAAAGTTCTTCACCGATTGCTTTGAAATTTTGACACAACGTTGCATTCGAATAGGCGCGTCTTTTTATATACCTACTATATAGATGCCACCCCTGTGACAGGTAAAAACATGCGTTTTTGAAAAACAGCGCCATCTGTTGCACATAATAGCAACATGCACGCTATACTAAATATGTCACGAATTCCATTTCAATGTTTCCGATTGCATTGATAAATTTTATTTTCATAGATTTCGATTTATTTTATTTTTTATTGAATTATTTTGTGTGACATTGTGTTGGAATTGAGCTGTGTTGTTTACCATACCGTTCATTTCGTAAGTATAAGTATAGATGCCACACCTGTGACAGGTAAAACTATGCTTTTCTTGAAAAACAGCGCCATCTGTTGCATGTAAGAGCAACACACATGCTATACTAAATATGTTACAATTCCATTTCAATGTTTCTGATTGCATTGATAAATTGAATTTTCATAGATTTTGATTTATTTTCATTTTGATTTAATTATTTTGTGTGAATTGCATTGGAATTGAGCTGTGTTGTTTACCATACCGTTCATTTCGTGAGTATAGTTTATTTTTTTTTATTTTTTTCATATTTTCATTTCATTTTTTAACTGTTTTTCTTATATTTCAGTGATGGGAACATCAGATCACTTGATGTTCCCAATTTTCTGATGGGAACATCAGACCATTTGGGAAGGCATCGGACGAGGGAGTGGGGAATGGTGGGGATGACGAGGGGACGGAAGTGAGAGATGGTGGGGAGGACGAGGGGACAAGGGAGGGGGTAATGGTGGGGAAGGACGAGGGGATGGGGGAGTTTGGGATGGTGGGGACGAGGAGATGGGGGAATGGAGAATGGTGGGGAGGACAAAGGGACAGGGGAGTGGGGCATGGTGGGAAGGAAGAGGGGATGGTGGAGTGGGGAATGGTGGGGAGGCCGAGGGGACGGTGGAGTGGGGAATGGTTGGGAGGCCGAGGAGATGGGTGAGGGGGGAATGGTGGGGAGGACTGGGGGACAGGGAAGGAGATCCCCCACATAAAATACACAGATCCCCTACATAAAAGGCACAGACCCCCACATAAAATACACAGATCCCCTACATAAAAGGCACAGACCCCCACATAAAATACACAGATCCCCTACATAAAAGACACAGACCCCCACATAAAATACACTATGCGTGCTAGTGGCTTGACAAGAATGTTAATTCAACATATTTTCTATATTCTCTGTCAACCCCCAATGTAACTTCTTGTATATAAATAAATAAATAAATAAATAAACAAACATAAAAGACGCAGACCCCCCCCCCACATAAAAGACACAGAACCCCACAAAAAAGGCACTGTTTTTTACATTCCTTATTATGGTTGCATCATCTGCAAACATTGACGTTTAAGAGCTCACTCCCCTTGGGTAGATCATTAACATAATTTAGGAAGAGTAGTGGTCCCAGAGCCCCAGCCGATTGATTGATTGATTGATAAAGATTAAGCCACCCAAAAGGTGGCACGGGCATGAATAGCCCGTAAGTGGTGGCCCTTTTGAGCCATTACCAGTATCAAGAGCTGATACTGGAGATCTGTGGAGGTGCGACTGCACCCTGCGTGACGGGAGATGTCTCCCGTAGCCCCAGCCATGAGGGACTCCACTTGAGGTCACCACCTCCAGCTGGTGACCTCGCCCCTCCCTGACTGTGACTCCCTGTCTGTCCCTCAGGCACTCCCTTACCCAGTTTAGTGTCTGCTCAATTATTCAGTTCACTTCCCTGTTATTATGAATTATTATTATTCCAGCTTGCATCTCCATCTTGTCAAGAAAATGCAGTCTGTAATGACGATAGAGGAAATTAGGTCGGGAGACAGTGATTAGACAACCAACGGTTAGAAAGGCGGGGGCCAAGAGTTAATAGCTGGATGGTTCAGGCACAAAAAAATAGTAAATACCAGTAGGCCTCCAAGTTAATTTAAGCCTATATGAGTTTAACTGAGAAAATAAGTAGAAAGCTGTTGAAAGCTGTCGTAATTCTGGATGAAGGGGCTGGAATCTTAGCAGCAAAGCTGTCTGCCCTTAGATATGCCTGTTTAAGCCTGTGTCTAGTTTATTTTTCTCTATTAGGAAATTGAAAAAATCATATTTGCATGACTCACGATTAATTTAATATAATCTTTAAGACCAAGTGTTGCATGATCTCCGGGACGCAGAGCGCCATCCCAGCAGGTTCTTGTCGGGCCTTGATGCTCCTTTGTCTGGAGCGGGCGAGACGGCCGCGACCCTTGAGGTGTTTATGGCCACGGTGAAGAAACGTCAGAGATATTGGCCGTGTTTCTTAATTTTTCCGTTTTCGAAGTCCAGTTTGTGTTGCTCTGTGCCCAGTCTAGGTTTTCCTTGTGAACAGTTTAGTTCCCCCGTTAGTCCCAGATATTTATTTACCATTTTGTGGGTTAATTAGTTGTGTTTTATATTTGTTTGGGAAGAATGAGAAGTTTGGAGTAGGAGGAGCGTCGTCTGCAGCCTTGGGGACCTTACTGTAGGAGCAGGTGAGTGGGGCTCTCTCTCTCACCCGTCTCTTGGTACACATTATACAATACCCGATTTATTCTCTTTGGAAGAGGAAGTTAGTGTGGAAGGTCGTTAAAATTTTGCCTAAAATTGTGTACAGTTTGAGCTGTGGTGGTTGCCCACTTGTGAACACGCCAAGTTGGCTTTGCAAGAATGTATTACTTAATCACCAAATTCTCTACTGATAACCCATTATACTTTGTATATTAAAATAAAATAAAATACTTATCTACACAGTTTGCACCCATCTGACCCACCTAATAATTACCTTTCCTTACCTTGCACTTACGAATAAATGAATAAATCCACAAGGGTCGTGATGAGGGCTCGAACTTACGTCCAGGGATGATCCCAGACGTGCCTTAATCGACTGCGCAGCGACATGGATATAAGAATTGCAACTTACCATTAAAACTAATAATAAATTTACCTGATTTACCTGAGGGCCTAGTTTTACCCTAGTGGCCTCAACGAGGATAGGAAGCCGGCAGCGTGTCGAAGGTCCCCCATGTGCCTAGATGATCTTTTCTAGATATATTTTAAAGTTCGGCACAGTTTTGGCGCTTAATATATACCTTGCATAGTGGTCTGTGAAATTTTGATGGGGGGGGGATTAATTTTATTTTGGTCAGGACCCAGATAAATTATTTTTTCTGGGCGGGATCCCTCAGTATCTTCCCAAGCTTAGCTCTAGTTGCACTGTGCTGTAGCTCTGCTTGCCAAGACCCCTGAGACCCACCGAGCTGTAGCTTAGCTTGCCAGGCCCCCTGAGACCCACCAAGCTGTAGCTCGGCTTGCCAGGCCCTCTGAGACCCACTGAGCTGTAGCTTAGCTTGCCAGGCCCCCTGAGACCCACTGAGCTGTAGCTTAGCTTGCCAGGCCCCCTGAGACCCACCGAGCTGTAGCTTAGCTTGCCAGGCCCCCTGAGACCCACCGAGCTGTAGCTTAGCTTGCCAGGCCCCCTGAGACCCACCGAGCTGTAGCTTAGCTTGCCAGGCCCCCTGAGACCCACCGTGCTGTAGCTCAGCTTGCCAGGCCCCCTGAGACCCACCGAGCTGTAGCTCGGCTTGCCAGGCAACCTGAGACCCACCGAGCTGTAGCTTAGCTTGCCAGGCCCCCTGAGACCCACCAAGCTGTAGCTTAGCTTGCCAGGCCCCCTGAGACCCACCAAGCTGTAGCTCGGCTTGCCAGGCCCCCTGAGACCCACCAAGCTGTAGCTCGGCTTGCCAGGACACCAGAGACCCACCAAGCGGTAGCTCGGCTTGCCAGGCCCCCTGAGACCCACCAAGCTGTAGCTCGGCTTGCCAGGCCCCCTGAGACCCACCAAGCTGTAGCTCGGCTTGCCAGGCCCCCTGAGACCCACCAAGCTGTAGCTCGGCTTGCCAGGCCCCCTGAGACCCACCAAGCTGTTGCTTGGCTTGCCAGGAACCCCTTAGCCCCCCCTAGACCCACCAAGCTGTAGCTTAGCTTGCCAGGACCCCCCTTCCCCCCCAAGACCATTCGTTGCCTTCCAGGAATCAGGACCAGAATCTCACTTTACGGGGCAAGAGGATCAGGAATTCAGAGATCAACCACAATTTGGGAAAACTCGCCTGAAAGCATAGGTTGTGCAGAATGTCAAACCTGTAATAATATGTGCAGAATCTTGTTTATATGATGAGTAGGATTTAGCTCTAGAAGTAAGTGTCTCATCCTAGGAAAAAAGACATCATATACTGTACACTCAAAACCTTGCATTGCCATGAATGGCTTTTACAGTATTTTTAAATTAATATACTGTACAGTGTTGTCATGAGATTTTGAAGTCAATCTGTCAAAAGATCACTCCTACAGTGTGCTAAGTTGTACTTTGACCAAAGACGTAATTTACCTGAATTTACCTGAAGCCCATTAACACCGGTGGCCTTGACGAGGACAGGAAGCAGGTGGATTGTTTAAGGTCCCCCATTTGCCGTGATGATCTTTTCCAGTTAGATTTTAAAATTTAACAGTTTTAACATTTACAGCTTCAGCGGGTAGGCAGTTCCATGGGTTTATAACCTTGTGTGGGGAAAAAAGCATTTCCTGTTCTCAGTCGACCATTGTGGCTTGTTGAGCTTGAAACTGTTGCTCCGTGTCTGTTACATCTGACTTTTTAAAGAAATTTTCAGGTTCAACTTCCTCCAAATTCTTCAGTACAGTATTTTAAAAGTTTCAAAGAGAAGAATGGAGCAAACCCTGTCATGCCTGGTTTGCAGTGTTGTTAGCCCTGTGGTCCTCAACCATTCCTGATATGAGAGTTAGCACGGCTCTGGAATTATTTTTGCTGCTCAGTATCATGACTTATGATCAACATTTAATGACCAAGTCAGATCACTAACGGCCTGCTAATCTGTTAATCTTGTATGTAATTGTGGTGGCTCACATGTTTCGGTGTACTTTGAGATTCCCAACAAAGAGCAGCTACCTTGTCACTGTTTGAGAACATAAGAACATAAGCTTGCCAGGACCCCTGAGACCCACCGAGCTGTAGCTTAGCTTGCCAGGACCCCTGAGACCCACCGAGCTGTAGCTTAGCTTGCCAGGACCCCTGAGACCCACCGAGCTGTAGCTTAGCTTGCCAGGACCCCTGAGACCCACCGAGCTGTAGCTTAGCTTGCCAGGACCCCTGAGACCCACCGAGCTGTAGCTTAGCTTGCCAGGACCCCTGAGATCCACCGTGCTGTAGCTCGGCTTGCCAGGACCCCTGAGACCCACCGAGCTGTAGCTCGGCTTGCCAGGACCCCTGAGATCCACCGTGCTGTAGCTCGGCTTGCCAGGACCTCTGAGATCCACCGTGCTGTAGCTCGGCTTGCCAGGACCCCTGAGATCCACTGTGCTGTAGCTCGGCTTGCCAGGACCTCTTGAGTTCCACCGAGCTGTAGCTCGGCTTGCCAGGACCCCTGAGACCCACCGAGCTGTAGCTTAGCTTGCCAGGACCCCTGAGACCCACCGAGCTGTAGCTTAGCTTGCCAGGACCCCTGAGACCCACCGAGCTGTAGCTTAAGCTTGCCAGGACCCCTGAGACCCACCGAGCTGTAGCTTAGCTTGCCAGGACCCCTGAGACCCACCGAGCTGTAGCTTAGCTTGCCAGGACCCCTGAGACCCACCGAGCTGTAGCTTAGCTTGCCAGGACCCCTGAGACCCACCGAGCTGTAGCTTAAGCTTGCCAGGACCCCCCTTCCCCCCAAGACCATTCGTTGCCTTCCAGGAATCAGGACCAGAATCTCACTTTATGGGGCAAGAGGATCAGGAATTCAGAGATCAACCACAATTTGGGAAAACTCGCCTGAAAGCATAGATTGTGCAGAATAAATAAATAAAAAATAAATAAATGTTTATTTAGGTAAGGTACATACATACAAGAAATTTTTACAAAGATGGGTGGACTTGTAGATAGAGCTAGTACATACAATGCCTAAAGCCACTATTACGCAAAGCGTTTCGGGCATTTCGGGTTTACAGGAATGTCAAACCTGTAGTAATATGTGCAGAATCTTGTTGATATGATGAGTAGGATTTAGCTCTAGGAGTAAGTGTCTCATCCTAGGAAAAAAGACATCATTTACTGTACACTCAAAACCTTGTATTGCCATGAATGGCTTTTACAGTACAGGTATTTTTAAATTAATATACTGTATAGTGTTGTCATGAGATTTTGAAGTCAATCTGTCAAAAGATCATTCCTACAGTGTGCTAAGTTGTGCTTTGACCAAAGACGTAATTTACCTGAATTTACCTGAAGCCCATTAACACCGGTGGCCTTGACGAGGACAGGAAGCAGGTGGATTGTCAAAGGTCCCCCATTTGCTGTGATGATCTTTTCCAGTTAGATTTTAAAATTTAACAGTTTTGACATTTACGGCTTCAGCGGGTAGGCAGTTCCATGGGTTTATAACCTTGTGTGGGGATAAAAGCATTTCCTGTTCTCAGTCGACCATTGTGGCTTGTTGAGCTTGAAACTGTTGCTCCTTGTCTGTTACATCTGACTTTTTGAAGAAATTTTCAGGTTCAACTTCCTCCAAATTCTTCAGTACAGTATTTTAAAAGTTTCAAAGAGAAGAATGGAGCAAACCATGTCATGCCTGGTTTGCAGTGTTGTTAGCCCTGTGGTCCTCAACCATTCCTGATATGAGAGTTAGCACGGCTCTGGAATTATTTTTGCTGCTCAGTATCATGACTTATGATCAACATTTAATGACCAAGTCAGATCACGATCACTAAGCCTGCTAATCTGTTAATCTTGTATGTAATTGTGGTGGCTCACATGTTTCGGTGTACTTTGAGATTCCCAACAAAGAGCAGCTACCTTGTCACTGTTTGAGAACATAAGAATAAAAGTAACTGCAGGAGGCCTATTGGCCCATATGCGGTGGCTCCTATTTATAATTACCCAATCCCACTCATATACATATCCAACCCATGTTTGAAACAATTGAGGGACCCCACCTCCACCACGTTACGCGGTAATTAGTTCCACAAATCAACAACCCTGTTACCGAATCAGTATTTACCCAGGTCTTTCCTAAATCTAAACTTATACAATTTCTACCCATTTTTTCGTGTTCTGTCTTGTGTTGATACTTTTAATACCTTATTAACATCCCCATTGTTATGCCCATTCATCACTTGTACACCTCTATCATGTTACCCCAAATTCTTTGCCTTTCTAGAGAATGTAATTTAAGCTTTGTCAATCTTTGTTTATATGACAGGTTTCTAATTTGGGGAATTAACTTTGTCATTCTACGCTGGACACGTTCAAGTGAATTTATATCCATTCTATAGTATGGTGACCAAAACTGAACTGCATAATCTAAATGGGGCCTAACCAAAGCAAGATACAGCTGAAGAACAACACCAGGTGTCTTGTTACTAACGCTTCGATTAATAAATCCCAGTGTCCTATTTGCCTTATTATGAACATTCATGCATTGATCTTTTGGTTTTAAATTCTTACTAATCATAACTCCCAGATCCCTTTCGCAATCTGACTTCACAATCTCAACACCTTCTAGCTTGTATCTGTAAATCTATCATCATTACCTAGCCTCAAAACTTTACATTTATCAGCATTAAACGACATCTGCCAATCTTTTGACCATTTCAAAACCCTATTTAGATCGACATGAAGTGATAGCAAGTCATCTTTCATGTTTATTTCCCTACCAATTTTTCATTCGAGGCAGCTCCTATTTATATCCACCCATTCTCATTCATGTACTGTATGTCTAACCTATGCTTGAAACAAAGGAACTTTTATTATGTTTTGCGGTAATTGGTTCCACAAATCAACAACCCTGTTACCGAATCAATAATTTACCCCAGGTCTTTCCTAAATCTAAACTTATCAAATTTATACCCATTGTTTCATGTTCTATGTTTAAGGGATTTATATAGGGATCTAAAGTTATAAAAGAACTGGCAGAAGAACTATGCCTACCACTACTATGAAATTACTTTTCACCAAATCTCTGGATCAAGGGATAGTCTCCCCTAGATTGGAAATGGATGGATTCTGATGGAGAGAATCATAAGGGAAGGAATTATTCACCATCTTTCAGCAAACAATCTTCTAAAAATGACACATGGGTTTGATAAAATAGATCCAGCCTTACAAACCTGCTCACCTCTTCGGAAATGGTAACCAGCTTCACATGAAGGGACTTCTGGTGGGTGTAGTATATATGGATTTTGCTAAAGTCTTATTTTGCTAAAGCCAAAGTAATTTCCTTGTCAGTCATAAAAGACTGACAAGGAAATTACAGGCTCATGGAATAAATGGTAGAATGTTAGAATGGATAAAACAATTGTTGAAACAAAACAAAGGGTCATTCTAATGGGTCCAAATCTGACTGGAGAAATGTGGTAAGTGGGGTAACCTTAAGGGTCCATTTTGGGGTCAACTTTTTTTTTTTTTTTTTTTTTTTTTACATCGATGAAATAGATGAGAATATTACAAACCATATCATCAAATTTGCAGACGACACAGATATATGGTAAAGTGGGAAGTAAAAATATTGGAGCCTTGCAAAGAGGTCTACATTAACTCCACAAATGGTCGGAAAACTAGCAAATGGTTTTTACTATTGACAAATGCAAGACCTTGCATGGGGGCCTAGCAACCCATGCCACTACTACCAAATTAATTACATACCATTACAGCAGATTGATGAAGAAAAGGACCTTGGAGTCAAAATCCATTACTCACAGAATGTTGCACAACAGATAGGAGCAGCAGTCAAAAAAGCGAACCAAACCCTTAGAATAATGAAGCATAGCTCAGTCTTTAAGGAAATGAAGGTGGTGATTCAATTGTATGAATCTTATATGCGGCCTCTTTTGGATTACTGTATCAAAGCATGAAGACCTTCAGAAGGACATAGCTGCTTGGAGAAAGTACAACATTGGGCAACAAAAATCATTCCAGAGCCAAGTCATCTTTATCAGGAATGGTTGAGGGCCACATGGCTAACAACACTGCAAATCAGGTATGACAGGGCAGATCTCATTGAAAATTTTAAAATACTGAACAATTTGGTGGATGTTGATCCAGAAAATTTCTTCACAAGGTCCAATGTGACACAAACAAGGAGCAACGGTTTTTAGCTTGACAAGCCACAATGCAGGACTGAGAACAGGAGATGCTTTTTTACCCACAGGGTTATAAACTAATGGAACCACCTTCCCACCGAAGCTGTAAATACCAAGACAATTTTAAAATCAAACTGGAAAAAGATTATCAAGGCAAGTAGGAGACCTTCAACAAGCCTTCTTATCCTTGTCAAGGCCACTAGTAAAAAATATTTATTACAGCCCAATGTTTCCTGATAACTTGTATAAAAGCTTATTATGGTCAAGGAATTGTAAGATGGATCCGTACATCATTGACAAATTTGATACTAGCTTACGTCATTATTTTTGTTTAGCAAATAATTGTTTTATATGTTTGCTATTTGCAGTGAAGACTAAGTGTTGTGATGGCAGAAAGTGGAATTAAGAAGGAGGGGGAGATAGAAGACTTGGAAGATGCTATGGGAGCTCTGTTGACATCAGAGAACTACATCATTGTTGATATTGGAGCTAACTTGACCAACAAGAAGTTCACAAGGGATCTAGACTCTGTCGTCTCAAGAGCTCGAGATGCAGGTACTGTTCAATAATAACAATAATAATAATAATGCTAGTCATTTGAAAGATATGTGAAGGAATGATTTTTTAATATCATTAACTTTTTCTTTATATTTGTTCACCCATTTTCCTCCAGGTTATTTGCCTCCCAACTCCATGAAATTAATCAAAATTAATACTGTACATAATCTACACGTTTGTGGAAATAGTGAAACTAATATGTATTACGAGTACAGTACATTCTTATATTCTCTTGAGTACACAATGTTTTGGGCAAGTCTAAAACTAACATTAATATGCAGACATTCCTTGGCTTGTACCCAACTAGAGAGCTTCAGCACTCTTATACAACACACAGCAAAAAAAAAAAAAAATCTAATAATTGGAATACTGTAAAAGATCAGGTTACAATGATCTTGTAACACACTGCTCTTCTCACTATATTACCCACTGATGTATCCCTGTCTCACTTATGTGGTATCTGTGCATGGGGCTGAGCCACAATAAACTACCTCAGACCCATTACCACCCAGCAAAAATCAGCTATCACAACTATAACCCTGTTCCCTGTTCCCTGTTCCCTGTTCTTAAATGCAAATCCTGCTCTGAAACTCTTCCTGGACAGATGTAATAGGACCCATTATCACCACACCAGAAATAAATATCTCTTTGATATCCCCAGAGTTAAACTTAATCTGTGTCAACACTCTATGCAAATAAAGGGACCCAGTTTATGGAACTCACTCCCTATTGAATTGAAAAGCTGTCCAACTTTTACATCATTCAAAATCAATACTAAAAAGTACCTAATTTCATCTTCATAGTTTTTCACTTCTTGCCTTAAAATTGCACTGTATCTATTGCTACCCAATCTCCCAACCTTTATGTTCCCAATTTGAACATCTTTACCATTGTGATCATTGCTGTCTTCTTATAGGTGCTGCCAATCTGCTGTATGGTGTTTATTAATCTTGTTTATCTGTATCTATTGCTACCCAGTCTCCCAATCTTTATGTACCCAATCTGAACATCTTTACCATTGTGATCATTGCTGTCTTATATGTGCTGTCAATCTGCTGTATGGTGTCTATTAATCTTGTTTAAATTACTAATCAAGCTGTCAATGTAATCAATCGGAGCTTTAATATAACAATGTTCTTTAATATACTTACTAAGCTCTCTCATCTCATTTTTCTCTTGCAATGTATCTTTATCATTTATCAATTCTGATAGAAATTACCTACTTAAAATTATCTGTTAGATTAAGGACCTGCCCGAAACGCTGCGCGTACTAGAGGCTTTACAAGAGTGTAAATAGTGTACTATCCAATGTATTCTCACAAACCCAATGTACCTTCTTGTATATATATAAATAAATAAATAAATAAATAAATAAATAAATAAATAAATAACAGTCTGCCTTCAGACAACAGATAGCTCATCTGTTCAAATCTTGAAACATGCTAAACATATACTCCATACAATCTTTAAATTTGCTCTTTTCACTTCAAAACTAACCCTGACTTGAAACTCTTTCTAGATGGATCTAATAATCACAGCAGAATTAAATATCTCTAACATTCTTGAGTCAAATTAAATTGATGCAAATACAGTATACCATGCAAATAAGTGTACCTAAAATATGGAAAATACTAATGAAGTAAAGAATTGTTCAATCTATGCTTTATTTAATTGTAAAGCAAAGAATTACCTAATTTCCTCCCACACTAGGTATTTTTCGTCATAAGGCATTCTTCATTTTTAAATTATTGTACATAAGAACCTTTGTGCTATTTCACTTAGTTCTGTTTCATCTGGAAATATAACTTGTTCATCAGTATAATTTCCCATTATCTTCATCTTCCCATAGTCTTGTTAAAATTGTTCTTGCCTTAGTTACCTGTTGCTATGTACCTATTACCTGTACCTATTCCAATTTTGTAGAAGCCTGAGAAAGAAGGCAGCAACCGAGGCTGACTTTTTCCTGTGACTAGTAAAGCATTATAGTATTAAGTTAGGCCTAGGGCTGCTTATTTAGGCCAAGGACAGGTTAGGTATATGGTTACTGTTCCATTTTTGTTATACCCTTTAGTACAGTGCAATCTCGAGTCAGTGAACTATATGCAACCAGCCACAATTCATTGGAGTGAGGGATTCCTTGTAACTGGAGTTGACTTCAGGAGGCATTTGAGAGATGCAATTTTTTTCTTTTAAGATGAAAAAATACTTTACACATATTTCTTCTAATGTTATGTCCATCTATGAAAACCATTAAAAATGTGATTGGAGCCATATTAAAGAGTGACACCATTCATCTCCATCTATAAGAGAGTATGTCTGTTTATCTGTCTGTTCAAGTTTAAAGGCCAGATGCTTGGGGCTAGCTTTGTTAAGCTTTCCTGGCCCCAATGACCCTTCTGAATGAAATATGAAATGTTCAGCTCTGAGTCCATAGACTTTGTCATTTATTTAACTGATGACAGATATACATTCTAAGGGCAACCATTTGGTTACAGTGATGGAGATAATGCATAAGGAAAATGGTTACAGTAATGGAGGGAGATAGAGGAAAGGGAGGTAGGGTATGCTGTAGAGATTCATTCATTCTGGAAGATATTCAGCTATTCTTGAAAATATCTGTGGAAAACACCACCATAGAAGCCGCTAACAATGTTCATCTATGCTACTTGTATCAAATGCATCATCACTGAATCCAGAAAACGATTCATCTATGTATCATCTATAAAAATTGGAGATGGCAAGGGTGGCACTCAGAGCTACAACTGGATACGCTCGCTATATCGTCCTCATCGGTGCTTTATCACTTGCATCTGACCTTTGTGTTAGGTCCTTATTGTGCCTAGCTTCATCAATATCATGACCCTTATGTTCTTCAAACAATAAGGTCTGAATTTCACCGACAGAATGATCTTTCCACACCGCGTCGGACAGGTGTTTGGAAGCCAGAGGCACGTGCGCTACCCATAGTTGCTCACTCAATACTAACCCAGCCAGCAGCCCTAGGACATTCTGGGAATTTTTTCCAAGATGACTGCTTCTCACTGGAGGTTACAAGAATCCATTTCGTACACAACCTACCGCGCACGCATTTTCAATGGGTACGAAATATTCAGAAGGTGTTTCCACATTTGGTGCAGTTTCCCACCGACCGAGTTTTCTCAGTTGGCGCAGCACAGTGGTTAAATTAATTTTTCTTTATTGAAATATTCGTGCCTGTTTAAGCAATTTATTCTTTCATTTCTTCTTCTATAGTGTTTACTGCATTCTCTAAGTCAGTCCGTCCTCTTTTTGATCTTCCACAGTTGAAGATATTGTTATATTTGAAGCTGACTTTGTATGTTTTGGTGGTAAATTTGTTTATTCCTTGTGTGGGAATTTTTGTACTCTGGATGGTTTCTTATGGGTTGTTTATTAGTTTCACTTGTTTCTTTCCAGTCAATCCTTGTACTGTTGAAATTGTATTTACAGAATTGAACTGCCATTCATGTTTGTTCTTTTGGATGTATTATGGATATTATTGTTTGGACTTGTATGAGTTGTGACTTCAGTAGGCAGTAGCTGTGATAGTAATGTTCCAGTGACTTCAGTTGGCAGTAGCTGTGATAGTAATGTTCCAGTGACTTCAGTAGGCAGTAGCTGTAATAATAATGTTCCTGTGACTTCAGTAGGCAGTAGCTGTAATAGTAATGTTCCTGTGACTTCAGTAGGCAGTAGCTGTAATAGTAATGTTCCTGTGACTTCAGTAGGCAGTAGCTGTAATAGTAATGTTCCTGTGACTTCAGTAGGCAGTAGCTGTAATAGTAATGTTCCTGTGACTTCAGTGGGCAGTAGCCGTGATAGTAATGTTCCTGTGACTTTGCCCATGATACAAAAAATGGTAGGGAAATTAATGTGGAAAAAGACTCACTATCACTTCAAGTTGATCTAAATAGGGTTTTGAAATGGTCAAAAGATTGGCAGATGCAGTTTAATGCTGATAAATGTAGAGTTTTGAGGCTAGGTAATGATGATAGAGTTGCAAGATACGAGTTAGATAGTGTTGAGATTGCGAAGTCGGATTGCAAAAGGTATCTGGGAGTTATGATTAGTAAGAATTTAAAACCAAAGGATCAATGCATGAATGTTCGTAATAAGGCTAATAGGACACTGGGATTTATTAATCGAAGCATTAGTAACAAGACACCTGGTGGTGTTCTTCAGCTATATCTTGCTCTGGTTAGGCCCCATTTAGATTATGCAGTTCAGTTTTGGTCGCCGTACTTTAGAATGGATATAAATTCACTTGTACATGTCCAACGTAGGATGACAAAGTTAATTCCCCAAATTAGAACTTTCATATGAAGAAAGATTAACAAAGCTTAAATTGCGTTCACTGGAAAGGCGAAGAGTTAGGGGTGACATGATAGAGGTTTACAAGTGGATGAATGGACATAACAATGGGGATATTAATAGGGGTATTAAAAGTATCAACACGACTTATATAAATGTAAGTTTATTTCCAATTTGTATTGTTTATGAGGTTTTTGGTGGGTTTATTGCATCCCCTGATTAAGGGTGTGTTGTGATTTTTAGAATTGATTCATCTAATATTGGTAGTTGTATTGGTGTTGTGTGGTGTCGAGGAGTGCAGTGTGTGCACGTGATGCACGTATGAACAGCAAGTACCTTCCTATATGTTAACTATAATAATTCAACTTATTTTTATTACTTCATTTAAAGGTGGCTAGTATTTTTTTTTTTTTTTTTTACTTCATTGTAAATTTGCAATTAATACTTCAAATACTTTGTTAGCTTTTTAAGACTTACTCAAATTGCTTTGTTTTAGTGGCTGTGAGAATACCATTTGCACAACAATATTTTTAAGGTATCCCATTGTATTTATAAACATTTTAGTAAAAAATACTTGTAAATGTTAAAAACGAATATTACTATCCATTTACAATTTGTATTTTAATATGAAGAGGGTGATTGCTTAATTTGTACAAATATTTTTATTCTAAAGTTTAAATTCATTATACCACTAATTCTAGATTCATTTGATTGATATCATATAGCACTTCTGAGATGTTTGGTAGAATTATTTCAAATGCTATTGTAATTATCATTCTTAGCAAAGTGCATAATATGGGCAAGCCATTAATGTAATGGCGACAATTACTGTCTTAGGATAAAGTTTGTGAGGATGTTGATGTACTTGCAGGAGTTCATAAGATCATGGTTACGGGCATCACAGTACAGAGCAGCAAAGACGCACTTCGCCTAACTCGTCTCTTCCCTGAAACACTCTACTCGACAGCAGGTGAACTACCAAGATTTGTCAAATCAATAGGAAGTTTAATCTTTGTACCTAGTTCCATTTTATTGATTATCAAAATAATGTTATTTTTGAACTAATGCTATGTACTTTTTTATTGATTCTCATAATAAACTGATGTTATTGAATAGGACATTAACAGTGTTTTGTGCACACACACAGTGGGCATGTGTTCACTAATTTCATTATACAGTAACTAATTTTCTCTTCATTACATAGACATTTTTACTACATAAAAAATTACCTAGCTATGAGTAGATTAAAGAGGGTAAAAAAGCTCCTGGTATAGATGGAATAACTGCAGATTTATTGAGGTATGGAGATGTTGTGATGGACATAAAGTTAAATGTATGTCAGATAACATGGCAGGAAGATGAGGTGCTGGATGATTGCTCATGGGCCATTATGGTACTCATATACAGTGGCACCTTGCTCGAATGTATCGTGGTGAACCACAACACTCTGTGGGTCAAAATGAATTTGCTAACTTTCTTGTGAACTGTCCTAACTGCTGAGAAAATGCCCATAGTGTATTTCATATTTTTGTCAATTATACTATTACTGTATCTGGTTTTTAATAGTATATATTAATACTGTAATAAAATTTGATTTCTTTTCTGGGGGAGCCCCGTCGGCTCCCCGGAGCTTTACCAGGCTGATATGCTAATGTCAGACTTTGGCATCAGTCATATGTATGGAGTTCTAGGGCCTACCGGGGACCACGGCCAGAACCTGGCCCCCTCAGAGAGGCAGGGAGGGGGAAGGGGGAGCCCCAGACCTCTCACGCTGGCTATCCACCCATCAGTTCTGAGGCTGGATGTCAAAACACGCGAAAAACTGCCGACCGGAGGGAGGGAGGGTTGCCGGGGAGCCTCCGGGTCTCGCCCAGAAAATGGCGTTTCATTACATTCAACGCTAGTTTTCTGGGGGGAGCCCTGTTGGCTCCCCGGAGCTAACTACCCACAGAGGAAGGTCAAAGGGACGGAACCTGGAGGCAGACACCATGCACCCCTCAACGGAAGCGAGACAACTGGCAGCAAACGCCAACCCAAGGCGACTCAGCCTGGAAAAGGCCCGGGAACAACACGAGACAACGAGCAGCAAGGCCCCAGTACGAACACCAAAAGATCTGTGCCCGAATAACAGCAAGGACACGCCGCCCAGACGGCAGCAAGAGCAGCAAAGCCATGAACGCCACGGGCATAGGGAAAGAACACAGGCAGGCTAGCTGCAATAACACGGCTGACAACCCGGGACACTGTCAGCCACAAACAGGGAAGAACGGAACCAGATTAACTCAAAGTGCGCCCCAGACATAGAGGCCGCGGCATGCAAATAACAGCGGAGGGCCGCCACTGAACACAAAACACGACACCCCCGGCCCGACCAACCAAGCACCAACAACCCAAGGACCCCTCCGGTACACAGAAGCCCCATCCTGTACCAGAAAAGAGGGAGACTGCTGCCACCGAACAACCAAAAACGCCAAAACCGAAGGAGCAGAAAACCCCTGCGGAGGAGCAAGAAGGCCAGCGACCCGACCCCCAGAGGCAAACGCCAACAGGAAAGAGAGCCAACGAAAAACAAACTGGAACCGAAGGGGCACCACCAACCGAGGAGAAGACCGAGCATGCTGACCAGAGACCAGGACGGTGCAAGTGGTGCACGAACAGACCGGAGGTGAAACAACGCACGAGACAACTTACTAACGGTGCAGAAGCAACACCAAGATCGAAAGCAAGCCGAAGCGGCTCCGCCAGCGCCGCACGAAACAAGGCGACAGTACGTGGCAAGACAACAGCCCCCAACCCCCACCAGAAAAACCAAGTCAATGCTAACAACTGCAGCCACCTAAGAAGGGACAGGAGGAAAAGGAAGGACCGCCAAAATACCCCATACTGCCGCCAAGAAGAAGTACGCAGGTGGAACACCTACAATGAAGCCACCAGACCACCAACCGGAGGCGAGACACGCGAGGCAGAACGGAATCAGCCCCGACAAGGCTCCTCTGAGGCCAGGAAAAGACGGAGCCGCGGGAAGATCTCGGGCACAACCACCAAAGCCCAGGTGGCACAAAGGAGATGGAACGTCTGCTGAACAGAAACTCCCCAATGCAAGCAAGCCAGCCAGGAGATCAGAAACGACGGGTCCGACGCGAGACATCGCAAGACCCAGAAAAGCCAACCGGCAGGGCAAGCCAGGAAAACCGAAGAAGGCGTAAGGGTTGCCACCAGAACAGTACCCGAACCAAGGGGTACGAGCAACAAAAACAGACCAAGACACATAAGCACACCACAGGACACAGGCTAAAAGAACGCCCAAGAAGCCAAGGAAGGCACGAAGAACACCCCTGCAGCAGAGGAGGAAACAAAGGGAGCGCACAAGGAAGGGAAGCGGTAGAAACCGACCCCCCCCCCCTCCCCCCAACAGCAGCAAGTGTAGGCAAAACCGACCAAAGGAGGTGCCAGGGAAGCGACTGGAGAGAGGCAGGACGTAAGAGCCAAAGCTTTCAAACCCCAGGAAACAACCAGGGGTGGACAATCAGGCGGGGACAGAACCCCACGCACATGGAAGGGCCAAGCCAAGGACCCGAAGATCACGAAAAATAACAAGCAAACCCCATACGCAAACCCTAGGCACAAAACAGCAGCAAAGTGCCACACCACACCCGGACACAGTAACAAGGACACGCTACCGCAAAACACGTCACCAATGCACACGTGCAGCAGAAACATGCACCACCGCAACACGCAACATGTAAGTAGCAACTTGCAGCTGCAAAGGCAGAGAACGGTGCAGGCAGACCCCAGACAGGGCCAATAGACACACGACAGACCCCAGCATGCCCAGGAACCTGCACACCAGGCGACCAACGGCGGAGACCTGCTCGATACTTGCTGGATGGGGTTCTGGGAGATCATTTTCTCCCCAAGCCCTGCCCAAGGCTAGGCTTGACTTGTGAGAGGTTGGTCCACCAGGCTGTTGCTCGGAGTGGCCCACAGGCCCACATATCCACCACAGCCAGGATGGGCCGGAACCTCTATTCGAAAACAGGCTAGTGTTCCTTGGAAGTTCATGGATGTACCGGCAATATGGCGTATCCTCGCAGGTAGGACGTTTAACAACAGCAGACCTCTGATGTTTATACAGTGTTCCCCGATTGTGCCTATGGCACCACTGCACTCCACTGGTACTATCCCGCATGTATTTCCATATAGGCGGGACCCAAGAGCCAGAGCTCAAACCCCGCAAGCACAACCAGGAGAGCCCTACCTGGAGAGTAGTACATAACCAGCACCACAACCCACACACCTCATAACATGAAAGAGGTGGGTCCCCTGAATGACTAGCATGGGTTGGACATGCACATGAGTAGGACTGGAAGGGTTGAAAAGGGACAGTCACCAGTGTGCTAACGATCTCATTTGTACATAAATATACCTAAATAAAGACAGGTATATAAACATCTTCGCATCCAGCGCCCGGCCGAAAGACGCCAGACCACAGAAACTCACCTGTCGAACGGAGGCACGAACGTGACACGACCCAACAGTGCCCAGAAAATCCTGGGAGCACCGCCAGGTGAAGAAGCCAGAGCCGGACACGCAGGAGAGCAGGGTAGAGGCGAAGGAGGAGGCCTACACCCATGACACAGGGAAAACCTCGGCGTCCTCCCCACAGCTGGAATCCAGGACACTCCTGGAGCGAAGAGCTGGTCGGAGTTGGTCGGAGCAAAGAGCTGGTCGGAGCAAAGAGCCGGGGAGCCGGTCGACCGAGCGGACAGCACGCAGAACTTGTGATCCTGTGGTCCCGGGCGCCGGCGAGAAACAATGGGCAGAGTTTCTTTCACCCTATGCCCCTGTTACCTAGCAGTAAAATAGGTACCTGGGTGTTAGTCAGCTGTCACGGGCTGCTTCCTGGGGGTGGAGGCCTGGTCGAGGACCAGGCCGCTGGGACACTAAAAAAAAAGCCCCGAAATCATCTCAAGATAACCTCACGTGAAGAAGGGGCACATACCGGAGAAGTGAGAAGAACGAGAGGCGAAGCACCCGAGAAAAAAGGGCGCAAAACACCAGCACTGAAACACACCGCCCAGAGCAAAATAAACTCGCACGGCGCATGCGCAGGATGCGCTGGCCGAACACACAACCCGCTCTGCGAGAAGGCGCCAACCAGAACTACTGCACCAGAAGCAAACACCAGTCCTGAAGGCACACAAAGGCACAGTCGCACCCAAGACCAAAAGTCACGTAGAACTCCAAGAACGGGAAAACATGACGAAGACACCGTCCCAAAAAGGGGGAGCATCCACCTACAGGACGGAACCAACCGACTCAAAGGACAAGGAACCGAGCCCGAGGAGGGGCCGATGGCCAACAACATGTACGGCGAGAGGGGGGGGGGGACCCCACTCCGCGTAACCACAAGCCCCGCCTAGAGGGGAATAAAAGACCCCCGTGGGGTCCTACGGGGCCAAGGCCCTCCAAGTCAGCCCCGGGAACCCACACGACAGGCCCCGGGGCCGAGCTGTCCCCCCAAAGCCCCGGTCGTACCAGAAAACCGGGGCAGTCGCAAAAATACTAAGGAAGGGAGCCCACTGGCAGACTCTTACAACACGGCTGGAGGAACAGGCTCAAATGCCCCCGTCACTACCCCGGGAAGGGGAATTCCCCGAGACTGCCCGAGTCTCAAAACCATCGAACCCCGCTCCGAACCCACAAATGGTAAAGAACTGGACGTAGGCAGGAAGGGGGGATCCAGGGGAAAGACAAGGGGGCATGGAAGGAACCAAAGCAACCAACACCCCCAAGTCCTAACACGAACCAAAACGGGGCAGCCGCGGGGCTCCCAGGGAGCAAACAAATGAGAGCGTTGCTTTGTGCCTTGGTGGTGGCAATAGAGCCGGCCGCCATGATCGGTGGAAACAAGCTGCACAGTGCCCTGCGCCCCACTAGTGCAAAACTGCCCTTTACCCAAAGGCGAACAAGGGAGACAGAACACCCGAGCACACAAAGAGCGGCCGAAAACCAAGCAGTAAACGGCCTAGCAGGGGCAGAACCCAAGGAACTTGTGGAAGGTGGCCCCAAGCCCCAAGGGCAGTACTTACAGGGCACCTACGGAAGGGAGCCCTAGGCACATACAGCCCGAGTACTGGAGACTCACTCCGGCTCATGCACCACCTAGAAGACAGACACCACACTCTAGGTACAGTGCTGAAACAACTACTGGAGCCAGAGCACACAACTGGTGCCTATAGCATCAGCCGAAGAACTGATGGGTGGATAGCCGGCGTGAGAGGTCTGGGGCTCCCCCTTCCCCCTCCTGGGGAGGGGGGAGCTGCGCAGACAGCGGCGCGGTGACGTGTGATGTCATACTAGTTTGCTAGTTTTCTGTTGGGGAGTTCTATCCACTAGTTTGGCTTTTGGTAGCAATTTTAACCAGAATAGGGGTTTGTTTTGGAATGCTTACCTTTCTGGATGCTTGACCCGGTCGATGGCAGACATAGGATGCTTCCAACCACACAGGGGTTTCTATAGGCCATTGTTCATCTTGACTCTGAGGGGGCCAGGTTCTGGCTGTGGTCCCTGGTAGGCCCTAGAACTCCATACACATGACTGATGCCAAAGTCTGACATTAGCATATCAGCCTGGTAAAGCTCCGGGGAGCCTCCGGGTCTCACCCAGAAAGTGGCGTTTCATTACATTCAACGCTGGTTTTTTATAATATTTAAAAATTGTGTAACACTGTTCTTGGTACATACTTCTAAGGTGTTCGAAGTCCTTTTGTAACCGAACATGTCTTGGCCATGTGCTTTTTTTCCTCTGTAATGATGTGGCAGAATCTCTCAGCACTCAGTGGTTCTTATCTATTATTCTTTAGTTATTTCATTCTCATTTGAAAAGATGTCTACCAACTGTGGTTGGGCAAAACTAGGTAGTGAAAGAGAAGAACTCTTAACATGGAAAAAATGATAGATTGGGAAAAGTGAGCAAGCCTGGAAAGTGCCAAGTGAGGGGGTGAACTGATGATAGTGGTTTGAAGTGAAAAATGCCCAGGAGATCAAAGCATAAGTTGCTGAATGAGATGGCGTATAAATGGTTTATGCAGCAGCAGCATAATGAGGCAGTTTTGTATGGTGTTTGTTCTCTATTGCATAAGTACTACTTTATTGTATTCTGTACTCACATTCTACTTTCAAATACCCATGCTCTGGAGGCAATTCAAAATGCACTCAGCAGTGAGAAAATCATGAATCAAAACAAGTATTCCATCAGATAAGAGCAGATAATATAGGTTTATTGTGTCAAATTTCATAATTATCTTGGTACATAAAACATTTTGAATTATTCTAAATATTATTCTTTTGGTAATGTAGGAATCCATCCTCATGAAGCCAAGTCATGGGATGATGAAACAGAAGAGGCATTAAGAGAATTGGCAGCCAATCATGAAGTAGTGGCCATAGGCGAGTGCGGACTGGACTTCAATCGAAACTTCTCTCCTCAGGATGTTCAGCTTGAGGTCTTTGAAAAGCAGGCAAGTTAAATATTAATGATGATTTTAAATTACCTTACAAAGCCTGCCTTACAAAGCCAAGCCTAGCCTTGGGCTGCGCTTGGGGAGTAGAACAACTCCCAGAACCCCATCAACCAGGTAAAGATCATTTTTGGAATTTTGAGTATCTGATTTTGTTAATATCTAACACTAAGTCACAGAAAAGAAGTATGTATTATGGTATAATTTATACATTTTTAATATTCATTGTTTTAACCATATAAATAAATTTTTACAGTTTCAATAAAGCTTCCAGTTTGTGAGGCATCTTAGGTACGGTGATGTGTACCAAGTAGCTTTCTCCAGCTATCTAAAATGTTCACAAATTCTTAACACTGATTTTCTAAATGCGATCTTTGGTTCATAATCATTACACCCGAGTTTATGAGACATATAATAATTTGATTTCATAGCGAAAATTACACTTTCTGTGTAGTGTAATAGCTACACAAAATAACTTATGTTATTTCGTACCATAAGCTGGATGTGTGCTTGTCACACTGTTAACATGGGTAGTAGTATACACCAGTAAGTTTCTGGTGTATACCAGTAAACCAAAAAATACCAAAATAGTGTTGAGTGCTGTATAAACAAGTTTGAAGCCACCTTTATTATAATATTAGTGTTAAGAAAGAGAAAGCTAAAAACAAATATTAGTTCCTCAGTTATTGAGAGCTGAAATGGCTATGTTCATATCTTCTCATGTGGTACACAGTGAAGAATTTATAGGATGAATTATTTGCCAATAGTAGTGTGCAGGTACAGAACTTATGTGGACCTAAAAAGGTTAGATTTTTTCCTAAAGTTAAACTCTTCTCTCAGGTCTCTCTAGCATGTGAACTGAGGAAACCTTTATTTGTACACGAACGAGATGCCCACAAGGAAGTGTTGGAGATTTTGAAAAAGTACAAGGGTCGTCTGCCATCAGTTGTGATCCATTGTTTCACTGGGGACACTGCCCAGGCGTCAGCCTATCTGAAGGAAGGGTGCTATATTGGACTTACAGGTATCAGCAGCAATATGCTTTTGTAATAAAGAATGCTTTTTGTCATGTTAACATCTGCTCACCCAACCCCTACACCCATCCATACTCATTCTGTATGCCTATATTTTGAAATATATGTACATAGGTGAAGGAGTTGGTGTATATTTTTTTTTTTTTTTTAAGAATACTCCTAATGATTGTGTTGAGAAGTGTGTGTGGCATAGAGACTGGATATCTCCCTGAAATCATATCTAGTCTCAATTGGAATTCCTTATCTTGGAATTATGGGCTCATTGACCTTATATTCCTTATCATTGATAAATTCTATAGGCTATGTATGGAAAGACAAATCTGAGGATGGGGTACGACGAATCTTGGAAGATGGCGTGGTTCCCCTTGACAGACTTTTAGTGGAAACCGACTCTCCTTTCATGTATCCTAACACTCGCGCCTCCAAACTTCCTCCTTATGTTAAAGAGGCACTCACGGAAAGGTAAAAAAAAAAAAAAAAGAGGTTTCTTAAAATTTAAGTGATAATGTGCATAATTTTATGCAAATATTAATTTTCTATGCTATATGGCAGTTGGTTATGCAGAGCAATCCTGGATTGCAAATTATTATATTTTGCTAGATAATGTAATCAAAACTCTTGTCACACCTCTACAGTCCCATATTTTATTATTCAACCAGCTATTTTAATTTTACATTTTATGTGACTTACACATTTGTATATACTCCTGTTGTGTTACCGTGCTCTGCATATTTTGTAACCTTCAGTTTCAAACATTTTGCAGAGAAGTGAATTATTGTTTCTTAGACATTTTTTAAAAGCACTGTACAGTAAAATGTACCATTTCAAAGATGCATAATATTATGGGCTGTTATAAAACAGTTAACATGATTACTAAAGATAATAAGTGTACAGTACTGCAATTGTACAATATTTTTCTTTCAGATCTTTGACGTTTCTTCACCGATATTGCACCTTCCAACGTAACGAACCGTGTTCCCTTCCGGTAACTATTGAAATGATTGCAGCCTATATGAAGAAGAAGTCGGAACAGGTAGCTCTTCAAACCACATTCAATGCTCTCAAGGTTTTTGGTTTAAGCACTTGAATAATTAGAGAGTAAATTTATACCAATGCATTTGCAATATAATTTGCAATAATTATGAGTATCTACTGTATTTGTTAATGTTATAGTATTTGGTTTCATTGTAATTTTTTTTTTAATTCTTTATTCATACAACCATCAGAAATTGTCAAGGCCCTATAGTTTATCACGTGATCTTAAATAATATTTAAGAGATGTGTTGTATATGTATAAAAGAAAATACCCTTAATTATAGTTTGAAGGGTACCTACTTTTATGCAGGACATTATTGCATTTTCAAGCTAGCTCCATTTATAGAGCATTTCTTGCAGTTGACTTCCACTTGTGCATAATTGCTGGGTGCTGTTTCTGGCCAAAGAACATTGTCTTATCATACACCTTTGTACATAATCTTGACTTATTCATATGAAAACAATCCATCTTATGTACAATCCTATATGACAGGGAAATTTCCATCAATATTGTAGACTTGAACAGGTCAGTGTTCAGTATGGAAGTAGTGGAAGTGCAGCAATGCTCTTTACAAAATTGTGATGTTTTAAGCTCTTCCAGTGGCAAGTCGGGCACTCGTTACTAGTAACCACTCTGACTTGTGTTCTTGCCTTTTCATGTAAAGGGTAATTACAAGTAGATTCTCATTTGATTAAATGGTGTGAGATCTTAATTTTTTTTCATGGTACTTAATAGAACATGAATACACTTTTTAGAGAGTAATGTAAGTGGTGTATCATGTTCTGTTAGCAGGTTTTGATCAGCTGAGATAATGCACCGTTTAAACTGATGCAGCTGCTGTGTACATCTGTGAGCATTTTGTTTTAATCTTTTAAGGTACAGGATTAATTTATTTGAATTTGTTTATAATATTATTGTGATAAACAATGGTGCTTTTATAATGATACTGTCAATATCATAGTCATGGTATTTGTAATAATAATTGTGGCTATGCCCCCCAAAAATTCACAGTATAGTACTTATTGCTGTACTGAATTTTCATGATGTGCTGTAAATATATCGGTAAATCTGAATCGACTTTGTAGCCATGAACGAGTAATAAAATAAATGCATTTCTCGACTTTATTTGCTAGCACTTTGGGTTGACAGTAGTTTTTAATAACCCTTTAGTTTCTTCATGAAAACCAAATTCTAGTCCCAGTTTACCTAATTATTTTCTGCTTTATCTTATATTTTGGGCATCATGGATTTATTCATCTTGGATGTTTATTACCTTCATTGCCTCTGAGGGGGGAGTTAAACAAATACTCAAGTTATTTAATTCAGTAACGTGAGAACTGACATTGACTAAAAAGCTTTCTACTCACCTTAGGCTTGGAAATTCCTTACTTGGAATATGCCATTTTGTGGTAAGAAACTAAATTAGACCTAAATTGAATTTAAATAATTAGCATAAAAATCAAGTCTTCATTATCCAAATGATCTAGCATTTTAAGACAAGGTCATATATAGTTTGTTAAATTGGTTTTACCTTGTGAATATAATTGACAGCCCATGTAGCGTTAACCTAGCACCAGTTGAAGTGTCAAGTTCCGGAGGCAGCGTAACATAACCTCAGTTAGGTTCACGGACACTAATTTTGGAGCTAATATAAATATAATTGGCATGACAAGAAGTAGGGCTAACAAATGCCAATTCAATGTAATGAATATAAAAATTCATTAAAAATCTTAAAATAATTATAATTAGATTTATTGTGTAATTATATATATATACAGGTATATAAAAAATAACAGCTGTATACTGTTGACTAATGAAGTCTAGTTAACATCATATGATTTTGACTTACCAGTCAATTAAATTATGTATTACTTAATATTAAACATGTGTCCACATGATCTAAACCAGTTAAGTTGAGAATTGGGTTGTTGTAAGACTCTTGAGTACAGCATAGTAAGATTGTTGCTACTCTTGTGTAGTCTCATTGACATTTTATTCCCCCCCCCCCCCTCGTATTACTGCTGTAAACTTGTAAACTGTCCCGCTTATTTAACTTCATCTTCTGTATTATATACATGCTTTATTTTGTAAAAACCTAAAATTGTCATTGTGTTTTGGAAGGGTTGTCAAGACTAACTGCCAAGTAATAAATTTTTTGTTAGTAAAGATAATATTGTGGGATGTGCCATACTGCATAGGCCACCATGTTTTTAATTCTCTAAATGTTGTCAAGACTACACAAGATTGTTTGAGGACAGATATGGGATATGCCCAGGTTTTAATAATCTTATTTAAACCCTGAAGTGTTCATTATGTGAATTGATGCCTTAAATACCTCTGAACTAGTCTCACATTATGGTCTCTCTTGATACATGTTCATTACTTGAAGTATAGCTGTTAAACTGTTCTTGCAAAATACTCCTTTCTTGCCATTTAATCAAGTATTTTTTTTTTTTTTTGGTAAATACTCAGCTGTCTGATTAATTCCTGACTGTATTTCTTTGGCAGTTAAACCTAATGGTGAAAGTGTACAGTATTGGGCAACTTTTATTTTTTAGTAGTAAATTCCTGTTTCAAATGTGCCCCGGTTGACAAGTGGTTTTTCTTTTGATATTGGATTTTTATTCCGTGTTGGATTATGATGAGGAAGGGAAGGACATCACAGTACATAACATGTAAACTACAGTATATTTTCCCATACACACTCCTTCCAATCCACCTCCCAATTCATATCTGTATACACTTTCAACTTGATTAATTTGTTAAGATACAGTACTGCAATAGCGAATGGGTGCTGTGCAGGATGGTGTTAAACGGGGTGTGTGTGTGTATAAAGGAAACCTGAAAATGCTGAAGAGTTTGTGCCGACATAATTTGTGTACAAAAAGTCTGGAGAGACTGCATTGTTAACACTCCAATGATGTGCATGTGCATCATATCAACATCCAGATATTGGTTCCAGTACTGAACATAAACTACAGCCAAACAACAAATATATTTTATAGTACTATATCAACCAATCTACCAAAACTACTAGAGTATATTATAACTGTGAATGGATTGTACAAAATTTGGACCCCCGGGCCTTCCCCGTATCTGCAAGTATAAACTCCAGATTTTGGAAGTCATGCTGTGTACTCCCTCAACATATGGTAATTGATCTTGCAAAATGATTATATTCCCAGTAGATTACCTTTTCAGGTTGAACTGGATTTGTGCATTTCACTTCTGACCCAATCATTGGCCTTTGCTTATTCCAATATATTCTAGTGCTTCCCATGCATCTACATCAGTGCCTTCCTCATACACCAGATCTCATCCACACTTTTTTTTTCTTTTTTATTTCACCTGCTTCATACACATACCTCCATGATTTGAAATCATTCCTTATGTTTGTAGACTTATAATTTTGCCATCCAGATATATATATATGTATATATATATATATACATATATATGTCGTACCTAGTAGCCAGAACGTACTTCTCAGCCTACTATGCAAGGCCCGATTTACCTAATAAGCCAAGTTTTCATGAATTAATTGTTTTTCGACTACCTAACCTAACTTTTTCGGACACCTAACCTAACCTAACCTATTAAGATAGGTTAGGTTAGGTTAGGTAGGGTTGGTTAGGTTCGGTCATATATCTACGTTAATTTTAACTCCAATAAAAAAAAATTGACCTCATACGAAATGAAATGGGTAGCTTTATCATTTCATAGGAAAAAAATTAGAGAAAATATATTAATTCCGGAAAACTTGGCTTATTAGGCAAATCAGGCCTTGCATAGTAGGCTGAGAAGTGCGTTCTGGCTACTAGGTACGACATATATATATATATATATATATATATATATATATATATATATATATGTCGTACCTAGTAGCCAGAACTAGTAGCCTATAAAGCTGACTTCAATATATATATATATATATATATATATATATATATATATATATATATATATATATATATATATATATATATATATAAAATTACTCTTATAAAACTTATTTAATTATGTATTTGATAGGCCCCTTGATTTTTGAAATATTAGTAATGTGCTAAGGTAAATGGTACCCCTGTGATATTGAATATATATTGCATGCATTAGAGTGCTTAATATCCTTATAAACTAAAAGAATGCATCTGACTTACATGAGCATTATCCAGTAACTTTTTAAATTATGCAAAATCCTATTTGTGTAAAGCTGGACCACCCATTGTTATGTGTAGTGGCTGACAATGACCAGTGTATGCACACAACACACACCTCCCTCCCTCCCTCCCTCCCCTAAAACCAATCTCTTTATTTCTGTATTAAATTTGAAAACAAAAAATACAAAATTTAATGCAAAACCATATTTTTAAACTTTTGCTTTGAGAATGTTGCATCGTTTTTCCTAAAGATCCAATTTTAAAAGCACATTGAAGGACTTATAGTTGTAATTGTCAACCAGCTGTTTAGGATGCTGTAAACTCATTTTATTAGTGTTAAAATGTGTCTAATATATGAACTCGGATGCATAGTACATTGTGTATGCTTTCAATAATGGAAGGGCAATTTGAACAAATATAGTGGAGGGCAATTTGTACTATTGCATCAACTATGTGAAATACAGGGGAAAGTAACTAGCATTCACATCTTTATATGTAATTTTGAGCTATGTGCAACACATTAATATTGAAACAGTTTTGTTAATTACTGTTACAAAAAAGTTGAATTTTTTATTGTAGGTTTATATAAATGTAGAACATGTACTTTCATATAATGTAGAGATTGTTAATTTGTATAAGAAAATCCCTCCATGTTTAAATATATACTTAGGCCCAATCCTTTATATACCAGTATTATTATTTAACTTGTGATGTCTACACAACATTTTGTAGTTTCATTGAGGTTGTTAGTACGGTTATATATTGAACAAAATGACTTCATTGGGCTGAGCTTAATCATATATTCATCCTAAGAAATGCTTACATGTATAACCATAAACAATATTAAAGTCTACCATGAAGGTGCAATTGTATATTTTGTTGTTTTATGAATTATAGCTGGAGTTGGTGTGTTAGCTGGTTGAGAGTGCACTTCTGGTAATTACTGATCTATGTGGTTGAGACATGAATGGTAGCTAATACTGATATTATTCTTGCCCAGATTATGAGATTGTGATTATTACACACACTTAGGGACTGAACTCCAGTCTTGCTGGTGTGTTAACATGTGCCTTCAAATATGGTTTACATTTAAGGAATGATACTCGTAGCTAATACCTGTTTGAGGGTGACAGATTGTGTTGTCTTTACCTTTAACAGTTTATTCGTGACCCCATGTCATTGTGTAGGATAGCCCTATAAAGGTTATATCATCTATTCTGCATAACTTATTTCTCCTTAAGGGTCAAGATGTTACTCACATAGGTTCTGTAATCTCATTAACTAGATTCAAAAGGATCTAGTCCAAATATTTAGGCTTTTATATTCACAGCAAAGTTAATGTTTGTTGACCTAAATCCTGGCTTTTCAAGGATGTATCTGACAAAACATTGATGAATGTGGCTTTTGTCCCACACACACATTATAACTAATAATTGTAAGATCTCGGTATATAAAATTATGCAGAAGTTTGATTTTATTTTCTCAGAATCCTGCAGGTACACTATGCATCAAGTCTGGCAGGTGTGTATGTACAGTATGTATATAATTAAACTACTGTGATGAATCTCATGTTTTACTGGACCTGTAGACTTTTTTTTTTTTTTTTGCGCATCACTGACTACCCTGGTGCACACAAAAAGGTGTAAAAAGCACCGCCCTCCCTCCCTGTTCAGCTCGTTGTTGTCGTGAGGGGGGGGGGCCTTGGTGGGTGGCTGCCAGTGTGATGCTCCTTGGGACAGTCCTCTGTCCTTTTGTAGCCTTGTGCTCCTGCTGCTGTCCTCTCTAATTGTGCTGAATGACTTTTCCTTCTGTTTCGTTTTTCTCCCCCCTCTTCTCCTATCTGATTGTCGTTTTCTGCCGACCTTTTGCTTGTTTTGGTTATCTTTTTGGACTTAAGAACATAAGAACAAAGGTAACTGCAGAAGGCCTATTGGCCCATACGAGGCAGCTCCTATTCTATAACCACCCAATCCCACTCATATACTTGTCCAACCCGTGCTTGAAACAATCGAGGGACCCCACCTCTACAATGTTACGCGGCAATTGGTTCCACAAATCAACAACCCTGTTACTGACCCAGTATTTACCCAAGTCTTTCCTAAATCTAAACTTATCCAATTTATACCCATTGTTTCGTGTTCTGTCCTGTGTTGATACTTTTAATACCCTATTAATATCCCCCCGGTTATATCCATTCATCCACTTGTAAACCTCTATCATGTCACCCCTAACTCTTCGCCTTTCCAGTGAATGCAACTTAAGCTTTGTTAATCTTTCTTCATATGAAAGATTTCTAATTTGGGGAATTAACTTAGTCATCCTACGCTGGACACGTTCAAGTGAATTTATATCCATTCTATAATATGGCGACCAAAACTGAACTGCATAATCTAAATGGGGCCTAACAAGAGCAAGATATAGCTTGAGAACCACACCAGGTGTCTTGTTACTAACGCTGCGATTAATAAATCCAAGTGTCCGATTTGCCTTATTACGAACATTTATGCATTGATCCTTTTGTTTTAAATTCTTACTAATCATAACTCCCAGATCCCTTTCGCAATCCGACTTCGCAATCACAACACCATCTAGCTCGTATCTTGTAACTCTATCATCATTACCTAACCTCAGAACTTTACATTTATCAGCATTAAACTGCATCTGCCAATCCTTTGACCATTTCAAAACCCTATCTAGATCAACTTGAAGTGATAGTGAGTCCTCCTCCGAATTAATTTCCCTACCGATTTTCGTATCATCGGCAAATTTGCAAATGTTGCTACTCAAACCTGAATCTAAATCATTTATATATATTATAAACAACAGAGGTCCCAGGACAGAGCCTTGAGGCACTCCACTTACAACATTTTCCCACTCTTACTTGATTCCATTTATACTAACTCTCTGTTTCCTTTGGTATAGCCATGCCCTAATCCAGCTTAATATAGCACCCCCAATACCATGAGACTCTATCTTTTTAATCAGTCTTTCATGTGGCACTGTATCAAAAGCTTTGCTAAAGTCAAGGTATACAACATCGCAATCCTTACCACTATCAACTGCCTCAACAATGCTAGAATAAAAAGATAACAAATTTGTTAAACATGAACGGCCATTTATAAAACCATGTTGCGACTCAATTATTAATTTATGTTTTTCAAGATGAAGACGAATTTTATTTGCTATTATAGATTCGAGTAACTTTCCCACAATAGACGTTAGGCTAATTGGTCGATAGTTAGACGCAAGTGATCTATCTCCTTTCTTAAAAACTGGTATCACATTAGCAACTTTCCAAAACTCTGGCACTCTGCCTGACTCTATTGATTTATTAAATATGGTTGACAGTGGGTCACAAAGCTCCTCTTTGCATTCTTTAAGCACCCTGGCAAACACTTCATCCGGCCCTGGGGATTTGTTTGGTTTGAGTTTTACTATTGTTTAAGAACATCCTCCCTGGTAACTGTTAAACTCGTCAACCTGTCCTCGTCCCCACCCACATAGACTTGTTCGGCTGAAGGCATATTGTTAAGTTCCTCTTTAGTAAATACAGATACAAAATATTTATTAAAAATACTACTCATCTCTTCATCACTATCTGTTATTTGACCTGTCTCAGTTTTTAATGGACCTATCCTTTCCCTAGTCTTGGTACGATATAACTGAAAAAACCCTTTAGGATTTGTCTTTGCTTGCCTTGCTATGCGAACTTCATAGTTTCTTTTTGCTTTCCTTATCTCTTTTTTAACATTTCTAACCAGTTGTACGAATTCCTGTTCTAAAGTGACCTCCCCATTTTAATCGTTTTGTACCAAGCTCTCTTTTTACCTATAAGGTTCTTCAAATTCTTTGTTATCCACTTTGGGTCATT